AGACGTTCGAAGAATCCAGAACAGAAGTCAACGTTCGCATATCCTGGTTCTCTTGGCGATTGCAAACTGTTGAGCACTGGTAACTGCTGATGGAAAAATATGTGAAATATATAGAATTTCCTTGGTAACATAACGATCAATTTGTAGGCTTAAAATAAAGAATGAGACGAGGTAACACTTTTTCGCAAGAATAGAGCTCGAATTGAGCAATCTCTGCAAAAACATGCGAGAACAAAGAGGATGATGAATATAACATTAATCTAAGGTTCTTGGTGATAAAAGTCGTGACACCTATAAATGCAAAAACGATCACAGCTAAATGTGTGGAGACAACGAATTTAAAATAACGTTTTTTTCCAAAGCATCAGCTCGGACACGTCATCTGAGACTGATTTAAATCACGAGGTTGGCTGCGGCAGAGTAAATTAGCCGACGACAATGTGCATTTTAATTAGAAATCCACAGGGCGTTTCTGATGTCACCCATGTCACCATTCTGCTTCTGCAGGAGATTAGCTTATACATATCCGTTGTGCAATAAAACAGCGGAAATGTGAAAATATTGGGGTTAACACACAGAGAACCCCAAAGTATGCTGCAAAGAAGAAATGACCTATGCAAGCTCTCGAGACGCAAGCGATTTCACGCGCGAAGACACATAGAATGAGAGTTAGACAGATATAAGCTGCCTGAATGGGTGGATTATGTAGCCAAAGGCGAGAACATTATCAAGTGACTACTGGAGTGAAACGAGCATTCTAGATGCCTATTGCAAAACTTACCTTGCTGCCCGATTTTGCTGTTTGTCACACACGACAGGCACCTGAGCCATGCAGTGGCAGGATAGAGACAAAACACAAGTGCCTGGGTTTTTAGCCGTCCCTGAGATGTCAAGTGTGGTATAGCCTGCAAATCATGCATAAACTTATGGCTGCCGGTAGGAAGTTCAAGAAATTTCCGAAGTAAATTGGCTGGGAATGATGGGGGTTGACTCTAAGATTCATTTCACATAACAGAATGAGGCAATCGATTTCAAATAGACGGACTTAAGTGTAAATAAGGGTTTAAATTCCAAGGAAATCAACAACAGACTCAGAAAAAAATATGCCCATATACCAGGCCGGAAGGGTGCAGGAGGAAGTTAAATAAAACATCAAAATAAGGCCAGTTGCATATGTAACAACTAACGTGGCTGCAGGATTTGGCCGTTTGCTACCCACAACACGTGTCTGGGCTTCTAGCTAGTACCTGTGCGGCTAGTATGGTGTCTTATAACCCTAAAATATACGATCAGCTGCATATCGGAAGTAAATGAATGTTACGCATTTATCCCAATGTGGCTCATGGATTTCGGTCCAATTTATCAAACATCAACTAAAGGTCTGCGAGTATAGAACACAGCGTATACTGACTCACTACAAGTTCGCAGTAGATTTCCTGGGAAATTAACAAGCTGCAATTTCAAAGCTGAAGTATCCACCTGAAAACTGATAGGGGGAGCGCTGGGGGGGGAGGGGGAATACGCTGATAAGTCTAACCGCTTACACATGTAACATGGAGCGGCAGAATATCGGCAAAACACGAGTGTCTGGGCTTTAGCCGTACCTGTGATGCCAAGTATGATATATCGTACTAATCATGCATACACTAATGGCTGCCTGTCGAAAGTTCGTGAATATTCCGCGGTTATTCCGCTGAAGCTGATAGACTGCAGCCTAAATATTCATATCACATTTCAGACTGAGCCTATAGATCCAACTTAGCGAATAAATTCCGAGGAAGTTAAAAATGTTCAACTATAAAGTATGCCTACGGACCGGGCTGTCAGCAGATGAGAGAGGAGGGAATAGCCGAGAACGTTTGGTAGGCAATGAACAATAGACCACTTCTTAGCAAGCGAACGTTTCCGTCGAATTCTATGCAAATGACCGCACTTTGTGCTGAATGTGCATAATTACACTTAAAATTGCATGTGTACTTAAGAAAGACCGCCTGCCGCACCCTTCGCAGTCCCACACTGTATATAACTTTACCGTAAACAAATATGTCACTGACAAACTTTTAGTAAAATGTGTATTTCACATTTATATTGTGCGCCGCTTTCAATAGGGTCATCAACGGCATTGCCTAGTACCCTAAAATTTACTGCTATAGTGCTGCAAGTGCTGAAAGTTGAATAAAACATAAGCGCTCAACGATGACACACGGGTCGCGTGAACTGAGCCCCAAATAAGACGTTAGCTGACACATAAACAGTGGGCTGCTTGAATGAGTTTCTAGGCATGATGCCGGTACTCCTATCTTCTCAATGCAAATTTTGCGAGCAATTCTGAACCACACACGAGCCTGCCCATCGCCGCACATCTCACGCTGTTCGATCGGTGATGTAGGCTGATAATAAGGTCTTTTATGAATTGTTTCCAGCGGAAAATACCCATAATCCTACTACAGTATATTCCGATGGAAAAATCTCCTACATCGAAGTATTTATTATGTCCGGCGTCTTTGGGAGGGCCATACGTAGTCGCCGCACATTTTCCAGAATAATGGTGAATTCCGATTCATAAATAATTCTTCCTCTGAGACATTTGCTATTGCTGTCTCATTCCCTGGATCCCGGCTTACTCTTTGAGGCAAAGAAAACGCGGTTTCTGATGTTACAATGCGAAAAAAGGTCAACTTCTTTGCGATGAGTCCGCTCGTCAGTATTAGAGTCATGACTATGTTCTAGCAGTGCAACGAGGGTCTGTATATAATTCTTTATAAGTGAATGTTCATAATTCTGTCGATTGCAAAACATCGATTTGGAATGGTCTACATTTGAACTACGTTCCTCGATATGACACCGAACAGATAGATGAGAATCAGCAATATATCTCATGTGAGTGTCCGACTGATAACAACACACCTTCCTCAGTCGCGATTTTCCGGACGGGAGGGCATGGAATTAGACGGTTAACATCGCCAGCGCCCAAATGCGTTGATGTGTCTTTGGCCCTCCCAGTCGTATTGCATGCACGTGTCAGTTAGGTAAATTAGGCTTCCTCTGATTCTTTTGGCGTTAACAAACTGTCTCGATGTGATGACTGCCTGAGAAAAGAAGCGCAAAATACTTATAATTCGCAGGGTTGTAAGTTGGCCGAATTGCAGGTGCAAATTTGATGGGGAGGGGACAAGGTGGCACACATTTCAAGCAAACTGTCTGAATCTGGAAAACTCTGCAAACAAATGCGAGGACAGCGAGGAAGTTAAATAGAACATCAGTCTAATGTCCACGGTGATAATAGTCAGCACACCCATGAATGCGAAGACCGCGACAGCGAAGTGTTGCATAAGAAGGAAGTTGAAATTAGGCTTTTGTCCAAAACAGCAGTTCGGACACGTCATTTGTAATGGATTTAACCCACTAGGTTTGCTGCGGTTCAGAAAAATGTGTAATTAGACTCCTCAGTCGGAAGAATATTTGGTCCAACACACAAAAACCACTTCGAGGCTCTGAAAGGATGAAGGGATCATTCTAAACCATCGCGACGTCAGCAATTGCATGCTGGGAAACGGTTATGATGAGAGTCCAGACTGCCAGAGATATCCTGGAGGGGTAGATTATGTAGGCGAAAACAAGAGTAGTAGCAACTGACTACTGTATTGAAATAAGCAGTCTAGGTGCATGATGCAGCACTAACCTTGCTGCAGGATTTGGCCGTTTGCCACCCACAACAGGCCCCCTGGCATTAATGCGACTACCACAGACAGTGTGGTTTGTGCGAAGAATGGTAGCCACATCGCAGGTCGGACGTAGTGTAATATAGCCACATCCACAAGGACTGTTTGCTGATGAATTCATAAACAGGGACACATCGAGGACCTCTCCAAACTGTGCAAAGTAGGTCCGCAGGTTTTCGGCGGTGATTTTGGCCTTCACACCATCCACATATATTTCCACAGCGCTCCCTGGTTGGTCAGCACATTCCGCCGTATTTGGCTGGGCTTCGCTGAAACATCAATGGAAGATAGAGGATGCACACAGATGCCAACAAATGCACGTCTACAGAGACGTGGAAATGAATGGTGCTGTCTGACATTGGAAACAAAGATGGCAGGCAATGTAGAGTTTCAATTGTTGAATGTTAGATTATCGTCCCAGACCGCCTCTAATTTCGTACATTTTCTCAGTTTTCAATGAAGCGGAATATATTTCTTGTCAGCCCATTTGTTAGGACAATTCTGGAATTAGCTAACATCCCAGACACTTGTTTCTCCGACATGCTGTCGCATCATGACACGACTACGAGAAATCAGCTCGCGTGCTCTTCCGGACGACACCCATTTACATATTGCAGCCTTTTAATTAGCTCAGAAATGAAACTCCAAGTCGAGGTAAATCAGTCTACTTGGGACTTACAGGCTCAGACTAAAATCTAAAATTCATCAGCCCCAGCACAATTACCGCCTTATATTAATAAAATTCCAACAGGTAGCCAGTATTTAATGCATATGTAGCCCGATATGCTACAGTTGGCAGCACAGGTGCTGTCTAAAGGTCCGGACGCAAGTTTCGCCGATATTCTACTGCTGAATGACACAGCTGAGAGACGTTCGGCTAATCAGTGGGTCCTCCAGATCTTGGCCCAAATATTCAAATCATGTTTCAGTGTGAGCCCATCAGTATAAGTAGTATGAGTCACACCAAACTGGCGATTAATTTCTAAGTTAAACAGCTAAAATATCAACCTGGAGCATCCACCAAAAAGCAGACGGTGATGCTTGGGGTGTAGGGATGTCAGCGGTGGGTTCATGTAATGGTCGTGGTGGTCGCTCACTTGCTTGCAGTTGAGACAGCGCCTAGCCTCCACTTGCTGGCATTCAACTCTCACCTGTGGCTCCACGTAGCTGGACTCTGCTCAGCGGTCACACCCCGGGCAACCGTCTGGACCGGCGGGCTAAACCAGGTGAGGGCGCTGTGCGCTGTGCCGTGTGCACAGGGTTTGCGGATTCCGCTGGATGGAAGGTCGGATGGAACCTTGCGTCGGCACCGTCGTGACGTGGTTCGTCTCTGCACGCCACTGGACAGCCGGTGACGGGATGGATCTCCACATCGGCATCGCCTTGACGCGCCCACCTACGCCGTCGGAGACCGCGGCTTACGGCGAATTCGAGTCGCTCTCCACTACAACCCGAAGTCGTGGTCCCATAGTGGAGTTCGGCCGTGCCACAACGGCACATGGCAGCCCTATTCAGGGATGGCACTGCCAGCCCCCACGAGGGGAAGGGCCTAGAAAAGGTGGCCTAAACATTGCTGGGTACCACGCCGTCTCCAGGCTAGCCAGGGCCGCAGACGTCTTATCATGGTCGAAACAATCAAAATCGAAACAACAACAATACCAAGAACAACAACAACAACAACCATACTCATTCTCCTCATCCTACCTCTTCTACCTCTACCTCCGTCTTTTCTTCTGCCTATTCTTCTACTTCGTCATCTTCTCCACCTCCTTCCCATCGCCCCACTCGTTTTCCCCAGACTGACCGGGTGAGCCCGCTCACTCTGGCAGCCTGGAATGTTCGTTCCCTTTTAGACAATCCGAGGAGCAACCGACCGGAACGGAGGGCAGCGCTAGTGGCACGAGAACTGGCGCGCAACAAGGTGGACATCGCCGTACTCAGCGAGGCCCGATTCTCCGAACAAGGCCAACTGGAGGAGGTGGGTGCCGGTTACACCTCCTTCTGGAGCGCCCGACCCAGGGCAGAGCGACGCGACGCGGGTGTCGCCTTCACCATCCGGAACGACATCGTGGGACGACTGCCCAGTCTGCCGCAGTGCATCAACGATCGCCTGATGAGCCTCCGCCTGCCTCTTCGGCGAGGAGGCAAGTTCGCCACCATCATCAGCGCCTACGCTCCGTCGATGACCAGCCCCGACGCCGTCAGAGACAAATTCTACGAGGACCTGCACGCCCTCTTGGCGACTGTGTCGAAGGCGGACAAGTTGATTGTCCTTGGTGACTTCAACGCCCACGTCGGCACAGACCATACTGCCTGGAGAGGAGTGTTGGATCCCCATGGTCTCCGCGGCTAAAACGACAACGGCCTGCTGCTCCTCCGCACCTGCGCAGAACACCGCCTCATCCTGACGAACGCCTTCTTCTGTCTGCCGGAGCGAGAGAAGGCCACCTGGAGGCATCCTCGTTCGCGCCAGTGGCACCTGCTGGACTATGTCCTCGTCCGGAGGCGAGATCAGCGGGACGTGCTGGTGACGAAGGCGATCGCGGGAGCTGATGGGTGGACCGACCATAGCCTCGTCATCTCGAAGATGCGTATTCGCCTACGGCCTCGCAGGAGACCACAAGGTAAGCGACCCCAGGTAAGCTGAATGTTGCCTTGTTGTCTTTGCCCGCTCACGATCTTCATTTCAGCAATGAGCTAGCTCAAAGGCTAGATAACTTTCCTATCGCTGCCGACGCCGCCGCTGCCGAGAACGCCTCCGTGGAGAACCGCTGGTGTCAGCTGCGAGACACGGTTTAGGCGACGACGCTCGCCATCCTCGGTCGCGCTCCCCGCCAACACCAGGACTGGTTCGACGACAACGACGCCGCCATCAGAAATCTGCTTGCCGAGAAGAACCGCCTACACAAAGCCTACGTAGACCACCCCACTGATGCCACCAAAGCTGCCTTCTACCGCAGTCGCCGCCAACTTCAGCAACGACGGCGCGAGATGCAGGACGCCTGGACTGCTCGCAAACCTGAGGAGATCCAAGAGTACGCGGACCGCAACGAATGGAAGAACTTCTTCTCTACGATCAAAGCTGTCTACGGTCCGCCGACGAAGGGCACTGCTCCTCTCCTCAGCGCCGACGGTAACACTCTCCTGACTGAGAAGACGCAAATCCTGCAGCGATGGACCGAGCATTTCCGAGGCGTCCTCAACTGCCCCTCCGTCATCTCCGACGCCGCCATCGAGCGTTTGCCGCAAGTGGAGACCAACGTGGATCTCGACCTCCCGCCATCTCTCCAGGAGACCATCAGAGCCGTGCAGCAGCTCTCCAGCGGGAAAGCACCCGGATCGGACGCAATCCCTGCTGAGGTCTACAAGCACGGAGGTCCACAACTCATGGATCAACTGACTGCGCTCTTCCAAGAGATGTGGCGTCAAGGTGAAGTCCCGCAAGATTTCAAAGACGCAACTATCGTGCATCTCTACAAGCGCAAAGGGAATCGCCAAGTCTGCTACAATCACCGCGGCATCTCCCTGCTGAACGTCGCCGGGAAGATCTTCGCACGAATCCTCCTCAACCGTCTCACTAACCATAAGGAACAGGGGCTTCTGCCGGAAAGCCAATACGCCTTCCGTCGTCATCGTGGGACCACGGATATGATATCGCCGCCCGTCAACTTCAGGAGAAGTGTCAGGAGATGCGGACCCACCTGTACTCTACCTTTGTGGACCTGACGAAAGCCTTCGACACGGTGAATCGTGAAGGACTGTTGAAGATCATGCAGAAATTCGGCTGTCTGGAGCGATTCACTCAGATGGTGCGTCAACTGCACGACGGTATGATGGCGCGAGTCACGGACAACGGAGCTGTCTCAGAGGCATTCGCAGTGACCAATGGAGTGAAGCAGGGCTGCGTACTGGCGCCTACCCTCTTCAGTCTTATGTTATCTGCCTTGCTGATGGACGCGTACCGCGACGAACGCCCCGGGATCCGCATCGCCTACAGGACGGACGGTCATCTCCTGAATCCACGGCGAATGCACTTCCAATCGCGCGTATCCACAACCACCGTTCACGAACTCTTCTTCTTCATTAACACGCAGAAGACGGTGGTGCTGCACCAACCGCCACCCCACTCATTTACAGCTCCCAACGCGCCGCCGCAAATCAGCCTGAACGGAACCTAACTGCAGGTGGTGGAGAACTTCCCGTACCTGGGCAGTACCCTATCCCGTAACACCAAGATCGACGACGAAGTCGCCAACAGGATCTTGAAAGCCAGTCAAGTTTTCTGTCGCCTCCAAAGCACAGTTTAGAATTGTCACGGTCTTCAGCTGAGCACGAAGCTAAAGATGTATAAGGCCGTCATCCTGCCGACACTACTGTATGCAGCGGAGACTTAGACGGTGTACGCAAAGCAGGCACGCCGACTGAACCACTTCCATCTCAGTTGTCTTCGTTGCATCCTGAGGCTAAAGTGGCAGGATCGAATCCCCGACACTTATGTGCTGGAACGGACGGGAGTCCTCAGCATCTACGCCATACTGAGGCAAATTCAGCTGCGCTGGAGCGGCCACCTGGTGCGCATGGATGACGAGCGACTACCCAAACGACTCTTCTACGGAGACGTCGCGACGGGTTCTCGCCGTCAAGGAGGCCAGATTCGCCGTTACAAGGATACCCTGAAGTCCTCCCTGCAATGCCTGCAAATCAACCCCACCAAATGGGAGGAGCTCGCACTTGATCGAGCGACCTGGAGGAGGACAGTGAAGACAGGCGCTGCACCTTACGAAGCCAACCGCATCGCTGCCGCAAAAGCGAAACGTGAAGCCCGCAAATCATAACTTCGCCCAGTAAGCAACGCCGCCGCACAACCGCTTCCAACGTGCCCTCGATGTCAGCGGACATTCCGGGCTCGAATCGGACTTGTTGGACATCTTCGGATTAACTGCGCCTCTCGAACGGCACCAACCATCGTCCCCCCGCCTGCCTCATCCTCCTCCTCTCCGCCGCCAACTAACCCTGACAATTCTTCTGACCCACTACTTTTATCATCCTCCTCCTCCTCCTCGCCCACAGCTCCAACGGCGGCCGCTCAGGCGACTGTCCCGCGCACAACAACCAACACTACCACCACCTCCCCCGATTCCAGGCATGAGGATCAGGACTACACCTGCCCTCACTGCGACCGTACCTTTACCTCACACATCGGCCTGGTCGGTCACTAGCGAATCCATCGCACAGATACTGGCGAACCAATGCGTGAAGCACCAACCTACACCCACCGCACTCGCCTCCACTGTCCACACTGCCCTCGCACCTTCAGGCATCGCATGGGCCTTTTCGGCCACATGCGCATCCACGAGAGCGGCCTTGACCGCACTCCCTACACACCCACCACATCCAACACATCCACCGTGCACACCCCCACCCTCGTTCCATCCGTCCGCGCCACCACCACCACCGCCTCCTCTGTAGCTGACACTGACACCGCCGACTTCTCATGCCCACACTGTCCACGCACATTCACCTCATGCATCGGCCTGGTCGGTCACTTGCGAATCCATCGCACAGAGACTGGCGAACCAGTGCCTGGAGCACCTACCTATACCCATCAAGCTCGTCTCAACTGCTCACACTGCCCTCGCACTTTCGGGCATCGCATGGGCCTATTCGGCCACATGCGCGTCCACGACGACCTGCGGTAGGCAACCCCCGGCCACACCACACATTCACTCACTCCCTACCTCCTCCTCCTCCACCACCACCACCACCATCACCCCACCAGAAATCAACACTCACACACCTCATGCACTCAACTGCCACCTCCCACGCAAGTGGGAAGTGTGCATCTCGACTCGGTCCCCATGCGGCTTCGGCTGCACGGGTGACTTGGGTCCGAGATTATCCCGACACGTCAAGCGTCGTGGATAGGAAGGTTGCTAAATGACGCCCGCTCTCGGCTCGCGCAGTTCGTCGCGTTGTGTGGAGTGGCGGACTGGTGGGCTGGGAACGGGCTGAAACAGCACCTTCCACGGCGCTCTCACGCAAGTGAGAGACGCCGTTCAACCCCCCTTGTGTGAAATCCTGGTGTTGTGTGTATGGGGGGCAAGGTCGTGCCGTGGCGCGCGCAGTCATGGTCGCTCGACCATGACAGCCACCGCGCCCATTCCCCACTCCAGTCTGCTGACCGGCTCGGACAGCGGCTGAGGTGTGGTAGTGGGAAGGGAGAGTGAGGTCGACGACTCAGCGCACTTTCTCCTCACTATAAACAATCTGACGCGCTGAAGCTATCATGGTGCGCTAAAAGCCGTGGTTCGGAAGGTTGTCAACTGACGGGGTAACCTGGACCTCCTCCTTGACTGGAGGCGGTCTGAGAGTCAGACTGCAATGACTCCTTCTTAATGTGGCCTTTACGGCACATCCATCACAGTGTGGGATCCGAGCCAGGCGTTGGCGGCACGCCTAGGTGCGGCTTCGGTCGTGCCAGCCTCCAAATCTCTGTTGTGTTGGTGAAAATCCTGGTTATTTGTTGTGTGGACCAGGGGGTGTGGTGGAACGCCAAGGTGAGGGTCCGTCCGAGCCATCCACCTGCGGCCTCTCTCGTCTCCGGTCTTCTTGACTCTGTCTTGACACCGGGCTCGGGCGAGGGAGGAGGAGAGAGTGTAGGTAGATGCTAGGCAATTCTACCGGCACTATAAACCCCCTGCGTAAGTCACCGTCCCTGCTCCCATTGCTGCTGCAACTGTGGGGCACATGGTGGACATCATCAAAACCGATGGCCGAACTGTCAGCTAGTACCTATGGGGTTGGTATGGTGTCCTATAACCTCCCAAATATACTAGCAGCTGCATATCGGAAGTTAATGAATATTACGCAGTGGCTGATGGACTTCGGTCCAATTGTTTAAACATCAAATTTAGGTCTGCACGCATGGGCCCCAATGTAAACTGACCTACTCCAAGTTCGCAGTCGAGTTCTGAGGTAATTAACAAACTGCAATTTCAACGCTGGAGTATCTGCCCGAAAACACATGGGGGGAGCGCTGGGGGAGCGGATACACTGATGAGTCCAACCGCTCGCACATGTGTCATGGAGAGGCAGAATATGGGAAAAACAGAAGTGTCTGAGTTTTTAGCCGTATCTGTGATGCTAAGAATGGTATATCGTGCTAATCATGCATGCACTAATGGCTTTATTTCGAAAGTTCGTGAATATTCCGCGGTTATTCCGCTGAAGCTGATAGACTTCAGCCTAAATATTCATATCGCATTTCAGACTCAGGCTATAGGTCTCAAATTAACTGACCTAAATCCAACTTAGCGACTAAATTCCGAGGAAGTTAAAAATGTTCAACTACAGAGTATGCCTACGGACCAGGCTGTCTGCAGATGATGGAAGAGGGAATAGCCGAGAACGTTTGATAGGCAATGAACAACAGACCACTTCTTAACAAGCGAAGGTTTCCGTCGAAATCTATGCAAATGACTGCACTTTGTGCTGATTATGCATAATTGCATTTAAAAGTCTATATGTACATTGGAAAGACCGCCTGCCGCATCCTTCGCATTCCCACACCGCATAAAACTTTGCCGTAAACAAATAATTTATTGAGAATATTTGAGTAAGATATTCATTTTACTTTTAGATTGTCCGCCGATTTCAATAGGGGTCATCAAGGGCATTGCCTAGTGCGCTAAAATACACTACTACACGAAAGTGATACAAGTGAGTTGAATAAAATATAACGGCACAACGATGGAAAACGGGTCGCGTAAATTGAGCCCAAAATAAGACGTTAGCTGACGCATAAATAGCAAAATGCATGAATGAATTTCTAGGCATGGTGCCCCTACTTCTATCTTGTGAACCACACACGAGCCTGCCCATCGCGGTCTCTGTCAGTAATTAAGATTTGTTTGGGTATGTCCGAGTGCGGTGTCAAACATGTGGTTAAAAATCTAACAAGGCTGGCTGTTGGAAACTCACCATACTGAGTCATTTTCTAAATCATCGCATGATTCACACTCCTCAACATTGATCGGCACTCCACAAAGAATATGCTCTGTTTCAAGAATTTGACTGGGATCCGCTGTCGTCCGTAGCGTAATGAAGGCGTCTCTACTGTCTTCGTTTGTTGATGAATCTTTGGACATATCAATATCCAGCACCTCACCAAAGCGGTCAAAATGCGTCTTCAAGGTCTCCTCTGTGATGGCAGCGCTCAAGCCATCCACATACAATTCAAGATCTCTTGGCGATTTATCAACAGTTTGATAATTATGTAAATCGTTCCGATGTTGCTCCGACTGCTGTTGTTGCTCAGATTTCTGTGGTTGTTCTTCTTCTTGTTGTTGATTTTGTTGCTGCTGCTGCTGCTGCTGCTGATGTTGAAGAGGTTCGGGTTGCCAGAGAACCATCTGATCGCAGTCATCATGTTGGTACTTCGGCGGCGGCGGTGGTGGTGGTGGTGGTTGTGGGTTTGTGAACTGCTGGTTCGCGACTCCAGCCATTCTAGGGACATTAATATTCGATAAAAACTGGTCATATCAGATGTTGCATTTGGGATTGAAAACATCATCGGCGTATAGTCCGCCCTAATATAACAGGAGTGCATAACACTACATAGTGTAATTACCAAGTATTCGCTTAACTGAAAACGACAAAACTGATATCGTAAATACATGTAATCTGTTCTCTTGTAAACTCACTCTGCTGAGTTCTTTCTAACATCGTCGGGTGAATAACAGTCCTGAACATTGACGCCAACCTCCCCCCCATACAATGTCTTCCGTTGTATCATTTTCATTCGCATATGCTGATGACCAGAGTTAAGGATAACCACCTCACCAGTGCTTGCTTGTTTGGGGATCCACAATTGAACCCACACGAAATAACCCGCCGAGTCAGCGGTGAGGACTCTCACGCCGCCCACGTGTACTTGCTTAGTTTTCTAATGATCTGTTTTATAAAGTATCCATTTTCTCGGTCACTTGGACTTCACACTACCCTCCAAGAAGAGCACATCTCACGCTGTATCATTGGTAGTGAACTTTCAATATTCTGTCGACTCCAAAACATCGAATTGGAATGGTCTACATGCGAACTACGTTCCGCGGTATGACACCGAACAGATGTATGAGAAGAAGGAGGAGACACGATCGCCGGGACAAGAGCTTTATTAGCCTGACGTTTCGGATTCCTAATCGAATCCATCATCAGAGACAAAAAGGCAGAAACGGGTGGTTGCTGCACAAGGGGCTGCGGTATTTATAGGATGCAGTAGCCATGCTACCGCATACTTATGAACATTCACGGCTCCCCCCTTCATCCGAGATCGTCGCACGTGGTGTGATCACTGCTTGATGGCCGACATTCGAGTCGATAATTGCTGCAAATTCATCACGTGCGTTGGATGTTGGCGTGATGATTGCTCGACCATCTGACGCACCGACCCCGGTGTTGGGAAAAGTGTTCACCTCTGCGCTCCCCGCATGGCTTGTTGCTCCGCCTAGGCGAAATTTTAGCACGCAGTATGGAGTGGGAAGATCGTTGCACTTGTTGATGGACTGGGGGCCAGTAAACCATGATTCCAGTAGCTCCCGGCTCACGCGGTTGTCACCTTTTGCGAGAATTTCGGCCTCATCTAATTTGAATGTGTGGCCGGATTTCGTCGAATGAGCCGCAACTTGAGATCTGGCGTCATTTATGCGAACCGCTGCAGCGTGCTCGGTCATTCTCGTTCGGAGCTGTCTTCCGGTTTCTCCGACGTAGTTGCTTTGTCCGCAACTGCACCAGATCCGATAAACGACTCCAGACGTTTCTAGCCGTGGCAGTGGGTCTTTCGGTTTCATTACCAGACGCCTGAAGGTTGTCTCCGGTCTGTGCGCAACTCCTAATCCAAGTGGTGCGAGAAGGCGGCCAACAGCTTCCAAAACGTTCTTGACATATGGAAGCGCTCGCCAAACTTTGGTGTCCGTGCGGTTAGGCCTTTCGTCCCTTTTTGCGTATGCACCGGTCGACGAAGTTGCGCGGGTAGCCATTGGCTTTGAAGACCCGTCGGGGGTATTGTAGTTGGGCAATCTTGTCTTCCGGCTCACTGCAGTGCGTTTCGACACGCCGATAGAGCGTCCTTACACGATTGCGTTTGTGGCTGATTGGGTGGTTGCTGTTGAAGTTCAGTACTTGCATCGTATTTGTCACTTTCCTGAACACTTTGGTCTTTAGTCCACCACAATCCTTGCGGCATCCGAGGACATCCAGGAAGGCCAGCTGGTTGTTCTCTTCATCCTCCATCGTAAATTGTATGTCCGGGATGACCGCATTCAGACGTTCCTTGAATGTCAGCAGTTGATCGCGGTCGATAACGACGAAGGTATCATCCACATACCGGGCCCAGAACTTCGGTCTGTGGTGTTGGAAGACCAGTGACTCTAACCGTTGCAGGACCGCCTCGGCGATGAATCCCGAAATCGGCGAACCCATTGGTGAGTCTTTCACCTGTTCGTAGATTGTCCCGTTGAACGTGAAGTACGTCCTGAGACAGAGCTTCAGGAGCTGAAGGATTTGGGCGTGTCCAAGGCGGTTCTCCGTTTCATCATATTTGTTTTGTTGTAGCAGCTCGATTGTCTCGATCGCCAGGTCCTGGGGAATAGAAGTAAAAAGGGATGTAACATCAAAAGATACCATGACCTCATTTGGATGGAGGCTTACCCCTTTGAGTTTCTCCAGGAATTGCGCTGACGAAGAGACCGTGGTGTCTGACTCAGCGGTCAGGAACTTGAGACGCCGGAACGGCCACTTAGCCAGTCCGTACGTTGGAGTCCCTTTGAGCGACACGATGGGTCGGAGAGGAGCGCCGTCTTTGTGCACCTTAGGGAGGCCATAGAATCGGGCCAAAGCCGTATCTTAGGGTCTCGCCATGCGTCTGTCGGTTGGTGTTATTGCACCTGAGTTCTCCAAGGCCAACAACGTAGCATTAATTTCGCGTGTCAGCGCCTTTAAAGGGTTCGTTCCACATGGGACATAGAACTGTCGGTCCTCCAGTAAACCTTTGGCTTTTTGAAGGTAGTCTGTCCTGTCCAGTACAACTGCGGCGCGTCCTTCGTCCGCTGGCACGATGACCAGGTCTTTGTCGGCCTTGAGTTCTCTAAGCGCATTACGTTCGACCTTGGAAAGCACATCCCGCGGCCTGTGGGCCATCAGGAGAGACGACACTTGGTGGCGGATGAGGTTCTTAGTCTCCTCCGTTGCCTCCGTCTGACAAAGGATTGATTCCACTGCTGCAATCACGTAAACAGGTTTGGCGTCAGACGTGTTAAATGAAGCTTCGTGCCGTAAAACCTGCATCTGATCCTTCGTCAGCTCCTTTGATGACAGGTTGTGCACCCGTTTGTCGTTTCTGGGCGACGTTGGATTGGGCAGCTTTCGAAATTTGTTCTCCAGTGCTGCGTCGCGTATCATGCTCTGTTCGCGGGCTTGTTCAGCTATCCTCTGCAGGAGCAGATTCGTACCGATCTCCCCCATGAACTCACAGCATCTGGTCTTTTCTTGGTCAATCCTTTGACGGTACCTACGAAGTCTCGCGTGGCAATCTTGGAGGAGCACTCGGATCATCCTTCTGCCGTGCTGAAATACTGCTCGTCTCACCAAATCCGTGTTAACCGGTGGCTTGTATGAAACACATTTCGGTAACACATTATTGTCGAGACACCTGTGCAGAAACCGAATCTGCGAATACGTAGAGGCTTCCCGAAGGGCGAAGGTTTCCCATTGCCGGGCCGATCGGAGCGCATCGCGCCCAAATACCTTGCCAATATAAGCAAAGAGACGAGTCCCAGGATGTAGTCTTGAAGAAGGAGACACGATCGCCGGGACAAGAGCTTTATTAGCCTGACTTTTCGGATTCCTACTGGAATCCATCATCAGAGTCAAAAAAGCAGAAACGGATGGTTGCTGCACAAGGGGCTGCGGTATTTATAGGATGCAGTAGCCATGCTACCGCATACCTATGAATCAGCAATATTTCTCATGTGAGTGTCCGGCCGAAAACAACACACCTCCCTCAATCGCGATTTGTCGAGCGGGAGGACATGGAATTGAAGCGGTTAGTATCGCCAGTGCCCAAATGCATTGATGTGTCGATGGGCTCTCTTGTCGTATTGCATGCTTGCGTCAGTTGGGTCTGTCCTCATCTGAATACTTATCCTCGTCCTTCTAATAGCTACCATTGTTTCGTATTTTATGCGTTTATCCTAACAAACGTAGGCCGCTAGAAAATCAGAATTCATGTGAATCCTGAGGCCAGTACTGAAGAAAAGCAAATTATACAAAACCAAATGTTAACTAGGCTTCTGCTGATTCCATCAGAGACATTTCCTATTGCCATCTCATTCCAGGGATCCCGGCTTACTATTTGAGGCAAAGAAAACGCGGTTTCTGATGTTACATTGCGAACAGAGGTCAACTCCTTTGCGATGAGTCTGCTCGTCAGTATTAGAGTCATGACTATGTTCTATTAGTGCAACGAGGGTCTGTAGATAATTCTTTATAAGTGAATGTTCATAATTCTGCCGATTGCAAAACATCGACTTGTAATGGTCTACATTCGAACTAGGTTCCTCGGTATGGCACTGAGCAGATAGAAGGGAATCAGCAATATTTCTCATGTGAGTGTCCGGCTGAAAACAACACACCTCCCTCGAACGGGAGGGCAAGGAACTGAAGAGGTTATTATCGCCAGCGCCCAAATGCGTTGATGGGTCGCTGGGTCCCCTTGTCGTATTGCATGCACGTGTCAGTTAGGTCTCTCCTCATCCAATTACTTGTAATCGTCCTGTTAATAGCTACTATTGTTTTTGTGCGTCCATACTTGCAAAAATAGGCTGCTAGAAAATCAAAATTAATGTGAATCCTGATGCCAATACCGAAGAAAAGCAAATAATACAAAACCGCATGTAAACTAGACTTCTGCTGATTCCTTTGGCGTTTTAAAACTGACTCTAAGTGGTAACAGCCTAAGAACAGAAGTACACAATGCGTATAATCCCCAGGGTTCAAAGTTAGTCGAATTGCAGGTGGGAATTGGAAGGGGGAGTGGGGGGGAGGAACAAGGTGACACACTTTTCAAGCAAACTGTGTGAATCTTGAAAACTCTGCAAACAAATGCGAGAAGAGCGAGGAAGTTAAATAAAACGTCAGTCCTTGTGATAACAGTGAGGATACCCATGAATGCGAAGACCACCACAGCTAACTGTTGCATGAGAAGGAAGCTGAAATTAGGCTTTTGTCCAAAGCATCAGTTTTGACACGTCATTTGCAATTGATTTAAACCACTGGGTCTTCTGCGGATCAGATAAATGTGCAATTATACGCCAGAATCGGAAGAATATTTGGTCCAACAATAAAAAAAACCCTTGGAGACTCTGAAAGGAGGAAAGGATCATTCTAAATCATCTCGACATCAGCAATTTCATGCTCAGAAAAAGCTAGAATGAGAGTCCAAACTGCGAGACATATCCTGGAGGGGTAGATTATGTAGGCGAAAACAAGAATAGCAGCAACTGACTACTGTATTGAAATAAGCAGTCAAGGTGCATGATGCAGCACTAACCCTGCTGCACGCTTTTGCCGTTTGCCACCAACAACAGGCACCCTGGCATTAATGCGACTACCACAGACAGTGTGTTCTGTTCGAAGAATGGTAGCCACATCGCAGGTCGGACGTAATGCAATATAGCCACCTCCATAATGACGGTTTTTTGACGAATTCATAAACAGGGACACATCGACGACCTCTCCGAACTGTGCAAAGTAGGTCCGCAGGTTTTCTGCGGTGACTTTGCCCTTCACAACATCCACATATATTTCCACAGCGCTCCCTGATTGGTCAGCACATTGCGTCGTATTTGACTGTGCTTCGCTGAAACATCAATGGTAGACAGAGTATTCACACAGATGTCAACAAATGCACGTCTGCAGAGACATGGAAATGAATGGTGGCGTACAACATTGCAAAGGAAGATTGGAGGAAATGTAGAGTTTGAATTACTGAATGGTAGATTACCCAGAAATTCAGCAGGACTAATTAATGCAGTATTAACTGCGGGATTTTTCTCAGTTCCATTCTACTGGATGGAGGGACAATCAACCGTCCCAGACCGCTTCTATTTTCGCAATGTCCCTAAGTTTTTCCTGCAAAGAAATTTATACTTTTCTATGGGCCTCCTATTAGGAGAACTAAAGAGTTATCTAAAAGCGCAGCTGAGTGATTCACCAATATTCTGCCTTTGTTCTCTACTTCACCAATCAAATGCAAAATCGATATTTCTTACTCGAATATCTGGACAAATGGGAAACATTTCTGGCATTCTCGATTAGCCGAATAGGAGCGCGTGTCATTTGACTGATTCGTATCACCGGTGGCGGTATGTTTTAGGCATCTTTGTCATCCTGGGCGCACGTTCAAGTTTGATTCGATTTTATGCCATTTTTAGCTTTTCTCACGTTTGGTTCCCCCTTGTTTTCTCACCTATACTTTCCCCTTTCGTCTTCGGTCCCCTTAGAGCTGCATTTACGGCCGGCTTATTTCGGGTGCATTCTTGGCATACGCACTGTCCGTCATCCGAATTTCCACTCTCAGAACACTGGCTACATATTCGTCTCTGAATGTTTTATATCTTAATCCTTTTTTCTGACGTACGGCTGACTCTCTAGCACTAGACTCGAGTAGTCGTCTCTATTGTGGACTGCGTACTTTTTTAAAAAATTCAACTTAGTCTGCCTTTTGCCTTTGTGATCATTCACGAAAGGACAAATCCATACGCGATTATTTTGAATGGCCGTTTCTACATAATTATGGGGGAAAACTGCGTTTCACAGCCTTTCCGACAAGGAAAAGGCAGACTGGAATGGCCATTTCTGGCCACCGCCATCCACACAGACACTGTGTGGAACATCCGGAGCTTGATCCCGCGATTTCAGTAGAGCGGTCGTCGAGCTTTCTGCTACCAAACAATGCTTACATATGGTGAGTCTTACCTTGAAGACGCCTTTGGGTTGGTGGCAGGCTCAAGTGCGGTGGACCTTTGATGTGCAGAGCTCCCTTGCAAATGGAAATTCGCTGCGGTTGCTGTCGCCGCCGTCGCCGATCCGTAAGGCGTCAGAAGATTCAGGCTGAGAAGATTTACGCCAATCTGTGTGAATTGAAGGCTTCGTTGAGTGCAATTCAAGCTGCTGTCCCCGTTGGGAATCACTAGCGCGAGACATATTGCACCTTCTTGACTACCACCCATAAGATGTAGGCAGTGCACCGACAAAACGGACACTTCTTCAACAAAACTCAACAAAACGCAATTTTATTGCATGTGAGAAGAGTACGCGTACGTAGGGAGAGTGAGGACCTCTGCCGATCCAGACTGCATTAGCTTCGGATACGTATAATTTGGTAGGTCTTCCAGCATCTGACGGTATGGCGCTCAAAAGTGAGCTTTTTTAAATCACTATAGCTCGGTGGAGACAGGACTCCCCTCCATCGGGGGCCTGCGAGTCCATAGGCGTGACGTAATATTCCCGTGAAGTGTTGTGCTGTATATGCCTTCTGACGCCCCTGTTATATTTATGTATGTAGCTGGCCTGAAGGCAGCAAGATGTAAAATGAAGGTCTTGGTGGGCCTTTCCGTGTTTCATATATATTTAATGGCCGGTGAAGACTCACTAGGCCCAGAAAGCTACGCGGAATGGCATTGAACACCGGTCAGATGAATTAGGCTTTGTCTAGTGGCCAGAGATGGTGAATAACGCTTAACTAAACTGCGCGTTTCATTATGACAAGTCACAAGTTACTTGTTACTATACCGGGACACACAAACGTTATGCAATGGGACGTATGGTAAAATGTCAAGATAATAATTTCGCTACAAATTATCTCTGGTCCCAGCTGTCCTTTTTCGAAAGCGAACTTGCTCTATCCGGTCACGGTTTTTTTCAAGGAACCGGGGTCAGTGGATAAGATACATATTAGGCCGCTGCATGGCAATACTTCACTACTTATATATCCGCTAAATATGATAATGTGCAACACGTTTCCGTTATTATCTTACACATATATTTAATAAACAGCCTAATTTGGCGGTAGATTCAGGCCAGAGCGGTCGTGGAGAAAACATGAAGAAGGAAGAGGAGTCTATCACAAAACAAGTAACTATACTTTGTCTGACGTATCAGCTTCAGTCTCGTGTCTCACGCCAATGAGAAAAGCCGAAAAACAGAGTTGGGTGTAGCGAGGGAAAGTGTTTCTATAATGGAGACTTACGGTTGGTTAAAGTAAATCTTCATTTTTAGGAGTTAGGATATCGTGCTTGCAGCCAGCTCCATGAGTCTCAAGTGAGGCGCGTTCTGTCAGACCTGATGCCTACTTCGGCTATATCGATTATACCGAATTCCTTCATTCTCCTCGAGAAGTACGCGGCGTCTCCCCTTCTTTGGGCAATGAGGAACGTCCTTCTGGACGTTACGGCCACGTAGCG